TCTAAATATCTATTTAATTATACATTTATATTTTACATAATGCCTTATTATATAATTTAAAAAATTTTCAGATTATACTTACATATTTTATTCTCTATTGTATTTACAATATTTATCCAGTGGATGTACTGTCTACTACCGCGTTATGTGTTTGTTTGCGATAATGTAAAGCTTCTTGATAAGCTTTCTTTACGGCTTTTCTGTCCGTAGGTTTACGTGATTCGATTAATTTTGCTTCGTCCACTTCGTGTGATACGCCAAGTTTTTCTAATTTCTCACCTGGTAACCATTGCCTGAAAAATATTGCAATGTATACATTTTTACTATTTGTCACTTATGTTCGCTTTTATAAAATTGAATATTTTTACTGTTTGTAAATTATATATTTGCTTTTATAAAATTGAAAAATATTTATTTCGCAAAATTGCAGAGTCTGTATGTCTTCCTGTTTTGAAATTATCTCTCCAAGCGATTAACAAATTCATTGTATCACATATACACACACACACACACACACACACACACACACACACACACACACACACACATATATAAAATCACATATATACACACACACACACATACACACACAAAATGTACTGACATACATATATATGTATAAATACATATAAAAACATGTATGTATGAAAAATATTTGTATGTATGTATAATAAATAAAATATTTTTGATGAAAAATGGAAATATTTTCTATCAAAATTTATTTTCAATTTTTTAATTGATATAATATTTTAAAATCGGAGTTAAAATTTATTATTTCTTTTACTCTCACTAAAAATGCACATTAAATATCTTATATGGTTCTATATTTATAAATAATTACCATGTGCGCTTTGTATCAAAGAAAAGCACAAGAAAAACTGGTTCTTTATAATTATCTGCAAGCGCCAGAACATCATCAGGTGGTGCTGGAATCGGCACCCCTTTATGTATAGTGCCTCGAGGTGTATTAGGATCAATGATTAAAGCTGGATACCAAGGATATCCACGACATTTAGCCCATACGAGCTGCAAAGCTTCTAAGCCACTACCAGTACTCGTTTGTTTAGTTTCGTTTTCTTTTTTTGTATCGGTATTCTCTTGTCGTTGTTTCTGCTCTTCTGGATCAGGAGAGGTGGATCTACTTGTGGGACAGCTACTACAACTCGATGATTGACTTTCTCCTTCACCCACATCACTATCCATTGTTCCACTCCTAGAAGTATCAGTTATGTACACAAGTTTTTATAACACAAATTTATTAATATAAGTCAATTATAAGCATTAGAAAAAAAACATTAAAAACT